ATTTTTTTGGATGGATGGATGGATGGATGGATGAAGAAAAATAATACAAATACCTGTTAACGGTAACATTTTATATTAGATTTTTGTTAAAATATTTCAATTTGAGGCAGTTTATTACTGTTAACTGTGCATTAGAGTATATCTGCTGTCTAAACCCAACCACTTTGCATTTGTCATGTTTACCCTCCCACTGTCAATCACGTTGCCCCCTTCAGCTGAGACAGTGCCACAACGGGAGCGCTACCCTCCCTTGGCAGAGAGCCAGCAGTCCAAAGATGTTTACTCTTTCTCGTCATCTACGTCCTCTCCCTGGGATTCACCAGAAAACCCTTTTCAAGCACTTAAGCCCATACCGGCGAGGGCCCAGAGCGCCCCCATCACCCGGCCAACTGAGCCAGTCGACCCCATCAAAAACTCAGACACACCCAGCCCTCCAAAGAGCGCAGACACCTTCTCCTCTGTTTCCTGGGCCCAGAGCCAGTGGATTGCCTTCAGTGATAATTTTGCTCCACCTCCACCTCGCTGTCAGGGCTCTGGGTCATCTGTGAAGGAGCTTCAAAAACCACAGTCAGGTTCCAGTAGGTCAGGTCACTTCCTGTCCGATGAGTCTGCTGATGCCTTCTACAAAGCAGCGAGCAGCCGAGATGACAGCAGCCTCTCTTTCACTGATGTCTTCTCTGGGATTACAGATAGGGCTGCAGCTCCAACAAGCAAAATATTCAATGGTAACTGCTGCTAGAAACTGCTGCCTTTTTGCCTGAGGTTTGCTAGATTATTTTGATATTTTCTTTTTATTTAAATGTAAGTTCTTATTTATTTTATGATTAAGTGTGGAGGTTACATGTTATTTGCAAATGTTTTCTGTTTTTTTGTGTTATTTTGTGTAACTCATGACTCCGTTTGCTTGTTTGTCTTTGGGTTTATTTTTGTGCCATTTATTTTGGAATGTCTTTTACTTGTTTTCTCTTGTTTTTGCTATTTAATTTTAATTTTTTTGCACTTGTGTGTTTAAAAAATAAAAAAAAGAGGTCATGCTGCATGAGTTTGCTGTATCTAACTGTATGAATTTCATGCAGTATAAAGATGTTTTTTCATACCCAGTTTTCATGCAGTTTAAGTAGCACTGACCAGAACAAATATGTGTTTCTGTGTTTAGTGCCAGTACCAAACCGACCTACAACCCCTCTGGCACCTGGAGCCTTGGTGCCTCCTCCACGACCCTCCTCCAGGCCCAAACTCCCGGCTGGAAAACTCACAGGAATCAATGAAATTGTAATGGAAACATATGTGTTGCATACATTTATTGCTGTTCAAATTATATCCATATATTCTAAAAGGCATCTATCTGAATCCCTTTAACGCAGGTAAGGCCATTCAGTCCACCTAAAGCATCTAGCCCTACTCCGACTGCACCCCTCGCCCGGGCAGAGAGCTCTTCCTCTTTGTCCTCCAACGCCTCACTCAGTGCTGGCAACACCCCCACTGTCGGTAGGAACGCTCCCTCAGTATACACGTATTTAAAGGCTCTTTCTTGTAATAATTTTTCTTTTATCCTCCTTTTCTTCAGCTCCTCACCAGTCTGTCACATCCTTTTGTCTTTGCAGTACAGTGTACACTGTCATCCCCCCGCCCTCGCTTTCCTTCATTCACTCCTCTCCTTACAGGAGCTGAGCACACCTTTGCTCTCCCCCTCTCCTCCCCAGAGCCAGAGTTGCTCTCCCTCTCTCCTTTCTTTCCACTAAACCAAAGTGAGTCTTCCTTTTTTTTCCTGCCTCCTACCACTGTGGGTTTACTCTACATGCATTACACTGACTTTTATCATCTTTATATGCAGTTATATCAGACTGATCAGCTCAGGGCTCACCTGCCATCATCACATATATAGGAACTGTGCTTTGCATCACTTCCTCACATTTCTTCTCTCTGGGTTTTGTGTATCTCCTCTTTTCCCTCTTTTATGCCTTTAATTCGGCATAAAGAGGATGATATGTTCATAGCGAAGCTGCCTACCTTTGAGAAGCGGTGTGAAACTCCAGCAGGTATGGTTGAAGTTCATATTAGCGGGCTCTTAGCTAAAACTAACACCAGTCTGCTGAATGGGCCGGATGGATGGACAGTCCAATCTCTTGCTTTGCCGTGGTTGCAGTTTTCTGTCTTGTTTGTGAGTTTTGTTTTTGACATTTTAAACCTGATTCTCACATTTGTCAGGATCAGCTCCTAACCTGATAAATATTTGTTTGTTAAAGTGATATAGCGAGGAATAACTTGACTGCTGTCTAAGATTGTCCTGACTGCCTAATAGTACTTATTACTTATAGTATTTTAACGTAAGCACCACAAGCATCTAAACAATCTCCCATCCTCTTACTGAAAAATAACTAAATATACTGATTTGCAGTGTATGATGGCTGACCTTATGAAATGCAATAATTTTATAGTGCACCTTTGCATGATCAAAAATTCCTAATTCTGATGTGAGCTTTGGGACTCTTGTGTAAGTCTGGTCTGCAGCTGAGTCAACAGACCTCTAACTCTGTGCCTTTCTCGTTCTCAGGGACGTCTCGCGGTCCCAGCCCTGTGACCCTGGCATCCCAAGATGCTTTGCCCATTGCTGTGGCCTTCACAGAATCGGTTAATGCTTACTTCAAAGGAGCTGATCCCACTAAGTGAGTCTCACATGACCTCCTGCTGCTCCAAGACCTGGACTTGGACCTGCGGTCATACAGACATTGTTTTTATTTGAAGTTGAACAATAACATGTTGGTGCTGTGAGTTATACAGTACACAGTGGTATACGTGGTTGTACCTAGCCAAATGTGCAGTACACACTCCATGAGCCTTTGGACTTGCGTTTTGCTGAGTGTTATCTCCCGTTGGCTCTGCATGTGTGGAATGTTTTGCGTTAGTCTGACACCATTCTTTCAGAGTGGATAACCTCCGTGGAGCAGATTATAGTCTGGGGCAGAGAAAACATACAGCCTTTTATTGGTTAACTGCTGTTAAATTGCTGCTGTGCAGAAGGCTTATTTTTGCAGGGATTAGCAAATGGAACATTTCATAAGCAATGGAGCAGAGATGGAGTACAAGGTTGAGACCTACTGTGGGCCATTACCACCACAACTTAGGCCAGACTTCTGCTAAAAGTATACACCTCTCACCCCTACACTGGCTCTACATTAGAGCCTCAAAGTATATAGAATTTCTGAAACACGAATCTCCAACAGGAATATACATTAAAGAGAAAAATATTCTTTTAACAAGCTGTGACATGGTTTTACACAAAAAAATGTTTGCAAGCTATTCCTGTCTTTGATAGAGCTTTCGTTGTTGTGGTTATTTAAAACATGAATTACTAGTGCTAAAGAAAGACCTGCAACTGGACTAAATTTGTCATTTGTAGATTTTTTTTATATTAAAGAAATGATTAGATAATTGAATACATTTGCTAATTCCAGGTTCTCAAAGGTGTATCTTTAAATTTTATATTATTAGATTAAAATAAATAGAAAATCTTTGGCTGGTGTACAAAACCAGGGGGCTGCTCGTTTTGAAGTTTTCTAGCTTTTTGGTGACTCGTAGAATAATCATTCCTCAAGGACTTCTACACAGCTTGTAACTCATTTTGGGCTGTCTGTAATGTTATGTACCAGAAAGTTAAAATGATAATTGTTATGATGGCGTGTTGGTGGTGGTTGTATAAATCATAATCTGTTTGCAGTGATGTGCGGTCCATTTTTGTGGATTTATTTGAAGAACTAAGCAAAAACAGTAATAGTAACTAACAGTAATGGATGAGCAATAAATAGTAGTGGCCAAGAAGAATTATTTAGGAGGATGTGATGATGTAGTGGAAAAAATCTGAATGAATGATTTAAATAGTTCACAAAGAATTTAGCCAACCTTTTAATTGTTAGCCAATAGTGTGCTTTCACAGATATAAATACTGACATTTTGACGTGCAATTTCACTGCAAAATGACATGGCTTTTTGGCAGCTTTTCTGTAGGAATAGAGCCAGAATTTAACTATTTGGCAACTAATTGAGTTGAGTCCCTTTATTGAGTTGCAGTCATTACTGCATACTGGCTCCAATGTTACATGTCAGCAGTCTGTAAGCATTTATTAAATTGATAGACTGCAATTATTAGCAAACCTTTGCCAGTTTTTCTGAGAGTGATTGCAGTCGGCCACATTTGTTTGGTGACAGATTTTTGCAGTCAGTCTCTGACAGCAAAAAATTCAGTTCATCTACCAATATATATATTATTTTTATAGTCGCAAGTTGCGGGACTTGCTACTCTAGTGTTAGGCATCAACAGTTAGCCAAAATTATGAGTAAAAAGAACATATTGTTAAAAAAAAAAGTGTGCGTGTTAGTCCCCATAGGGAAATAGTTCCTCTGCATTTAACCCATTCACCCAGTGAAGCAGTGGGCAGCCACCAGTGCAGCGCCCGGGGAGCAGTGTGTAGGGACGGTACCTTGCTCAGGGGTACCTCAGGGTAGCCGTTCAGTGGAGTCGAAACCCCGACCTTCCGATCATGGAGCCACCACTCTACCTACTGAGCTATCCCTGCCCTAGTTAGTTAAACTTGATGGATAAAAAGCTAATTTTTCAGCTGCTCCACTGTTGCCAAGGGTCACCACAGTGGGTCGCTCCACGTTTTATTTGGTAGACTTAAGTCATTTAATAGCTAGCTTAAATTTTAATATATGAAATTGAGTACATTTGTTTTTTGGAGTTTTTAAACAAAAATTAAATGTGGTTAGCATTTAAATTGTTAGCTAAGTGTACAAATTAAACAGTTCGCTAAACCTAATGGATAAACAATGTAAATTAGCTAGCTGAAATTATGAATAAAATTACTTTTTAATTAAAAGTAAAACTACCATTACAAAACAAGTTGTTAGCTTAAAATAATTAAATATTAAAGACAATAGTATTTGATGAAAAAAGTTAGGAGCCAGGTTGGTCCTACTGGTTTTACATGGGACTGTTGTGCACTTTGGGAAAAAGTCTCTATTAAAAAGTTCACTTCAGCTTAACATGCTAAACCATTGGTGGTTTTCTACAGGTGCATTGTGAAGATCACTGGAGACATGACACTGTCGTTTCCAATGGGCATCATCAAGGTGTTCACTACCAACCCCTCCCCAGCCGTCCTCACCTTCAAGCTGAAGAACACCAGCAGGCTGGAGCAGATCCTACCCAACCAACAGCTGTTATACAGGTGAGGTATCGAGAAAAAGCTAAAGTACAACCCGGTTTTGTTTTGCTTTATAATTAACCATCTTAGCTGAGCTGTTGAATCGATAACTTGACAGTGATAGAGTGAAAGAGGACCTTGGACTCGGTGATATGAGCGAGAATCACGGAAATGCAGTCTGCGTCAGTGAGAGGAAATTCAATTAGTAATCTGACATGAACCTAGTATTAAGCTGTCAGGGAAGTATTTTCCACCAGACAGCCAGGTTCTCAGCAGCCTGTGTCTCTTCAAAAAGATGCCTTAAATGGCAAAGGACAAAAAAGGTCACAGACAGTGCTCATTCAACACTTTATTTTTTCAACATCTTATTCCACATCTTACTTCTTCAGTCTCAGGCAAAGCTTTTTAATTAAAGCTCCAATAAGGTACCAAATTAGTTGCTTCTATTTTAAAAGTGTATTGTTCCCGAAAATTAATGAAGAACCACATCTTTTTTCTGTTTATTTGAACATTTCCCGCTCTGGTTCCTCTCGGTTATCCTCAGACCACATGGCAGGACTAATTGAATCAAATGGAATTCATGATTTAGTAGCTGGTTGGATATAACAGGGTCATTTTTTCCAAGCTGTTGGAGCTCTACATACAAAGCCAAGAAGCGCAATGAATAATTGAGCCTGTGATTATTATTACTTGTGTGTATGTGTGTGTATTCATCTTTCTGACTGTTTTGCTTTTTTCTAGTGATCCCTCTCAAAGTGACTCAGATTCCAAGGATTTCTGGTTCAACATGCAAGCACTGACGTCCTACCTCAGAAAAGCCTCAGAACAGAGTCCTTCAGCTTCCTACTATAATGTAGACATCCTGAAATACCAGGTCAGTCAGCAAGAACTGCATGAAAAAAATAAACCAGATATGATAATTGTATTTCAGGCTAAGACTTTTCTTTCTGAAAGAGAAGAAAAAGACTTCAGAATCCAACATTTCTCAGCAAAGCATTGCATCATCACGACACGATCAGTGTTAATCCACTGAACCTGTCGGTGGTGGTCACCCTGGTGTGGGTTACTGTGGTCATAGAGCATTGCATACCAATACTTAGAGCATTTTTAAAAACACTTCCTTAAAAACTAGCATCATAGCAGTCCAACAAATGGATAACACACAGAGATGTAATATTGTGGAAAAATTGCTACATATTCTTTATTGATGTGTCCAGGTGATGTCTGATGGGATCCATTCCACCCCGCTAAACCTGGCCGTATACTGGAAATGTACAGCAAGTACAACGGACCTGCGGATAGACTACCGCTACAACCCAGAGTCCATGGACTCACCCAGTCCACTCACCAACGTACAGATCTTAGTGCCTGTTGATGGAGGAGTCACCAACATGCAGTCTCTGCCTAACTCCATATGGTGAGACGTAGTGCCTCTTGGCACCGTTAGCAGGAGAGCAACATGTAATTGTTATGGGCCAGCAGTATTGATTGACTTGCACCCCCCTCCTGTTGTTGCTATGATACTGCCGCCGTTGTGGCACTTTAGTCATGCAATGGCACAGAAGTCTTACATGGATTGTCAGATGGGATATTTTGTCAGAATATAAATATGTAATATGAAAAATTCATCAAAATAATGTAAATATTATTGTAAAATTAACGATAAATCATCAATATAGATGATTAGAAGATTAAAAATTTGCATTGTCTGTGAAAATACGATGTGGAAGAAACATAGACCATCCACAAACTAAATCAAGGTAGCACGCACACACTAAAAGTCGACAAACAAACAATGTACAAATATACACAATAGTTTGATAAAATATTTGTATATACCATATAGATGATGCCACTTTCAATGCTCCGGGCAGTGTTTATGCAAAGTTTCATCAAGATTGGTCTGCTTATCTAGGAGGAGAAAGACGCACACAAATATACATACATACACTACAATCATTAAAGCGTGATGTTATAGGGTGTTATTTCCTTATTCCATTTTTAGGAATTCAGAGCAGAGTAAGTGTCTGTGGAGGCTGACTGACATCTCAGAAAAGTCTGAAAACGATGGTAAGAAATCTTTTTTTGAGTTTATGAATGTTTTGCATCAAAGTTTGTGCAAAATCCTGCAGCAAGCACTAGAACTGGATCAGTCCCTTGTAAGTGAGCCTACTCGTTTGTGTTTGATTCTAGGTGCCGGGTCCCTGAGGGCCAAGTTTGAACTGTCAAATGGCCCATCGCACCCCTCCACTCTGGCAGTGCAGTTTATGAATGAGGGGAGCACCCTGTCAGGAGTGGACATGGAGCTGCAGGGGGCCGGATACAGACTTTCCCTCAGCAAGAAGAGATTTGCCACAGGTGTGTAAAAAGCTTGATGGTCTACATGTACTAGGTGGCACTATTTAATGACTCAAATTTCACATCTTTTGTCTACAGGGCGTTATATGGCAGATTGCTGAGGTGACCCATCATCGCGGTCGCCAAGAAACCCAAGAGCAAAACCTGCCGACTCACTCGCAAAAGCCCCCTGAACCTCTGGATCACCTCCTGTCACACCCAGGAAGCGAGACTCTCACTACAAAACTAAACAGCACTGAGTATTGAACACTGTTAAAAAGAAAAGAAAACTAAGATGAGATTTCAGGAAATGTGTAGATAAGTCTAATAATTCTTTCCGATCAAATCCTTTTTTGTATAGTCAGAAACAGTTTATGGCTCTATGTTGTATTTGAAATCATAAAAAACAGAAAATAAGTGCACTAACAACCTTTCAGATGCTCTTTTTGCTCTTATATATAATTTCCAAGAACCTGTAAGGAATATAAAAGAAAACAATTTCTCTCTTTCTCTGTCCAAACTGTAAATAATAATGCTGAATATTCTGCTCGACCACCTTTGACTCGGCTCACAAATCAGCTTCCTCACTTTCACTTTCTTTTTTTAAACTGGTGCAATGAAGGTAAAATCTGAACTCGCAGACTTGCAGCACAGGCTTAATCTTTATAAAATATTTTGCTTTCGGAAAATGCACAAAAAAAAAAGAAAGAAGCAAAACCAATAATGATCTGACCTCAGTGCCTCCTCTTATACTGTGGAACAACAGGCAAAAAAAATTCTGTTAGTGTTTGGGGTTTGCATTTCTCTGTGGTTGAATACCAGAGTCCTTTTGAACAATCACCCTTACCGCTGTCAGTGTGCTTATTTAAAAATTTTTAACATTTTCCTTTGTAAACCCCCCTTTTAGTCATGCCTTGTGTTTTTAAGCCTTTTAATTGACTGTAAAACATTGTGTCAAAAGTCATATGTTTTATCTATCTATATATAGATAGATATAAAAAAGAATCAAGGGACATTTCTCTAAATTGAAGTTGGCAGCTTTTGTAAGAGCTGCCAGTGATTTATTTTTTAACATACTTCTGTGTTAGTATTGAAATGTGCCTGAATCTAACTTTTATCTGTTCCTTTTTGTATGCTACAACACAGTCATTGAGAATAGCACCAACAACGTGCCATTTATGTCTTTGTTTGTTTTTTTTAATCTTTTATTTGGATATCGAAGGGAAAACGTCTCCGCTTTGTAACGTGTCTTCCAGAAACGAATGATCATTTGGACTGAGTTTAATCATTGTACTCTTTTATCAATTTTTAGCCTTTGAAGCTCATCCGATGTCTTACTCTCACGACACAGCAGACGATGTTGGTGAAAAGTAGCACCTTGAGGCCAAATTAATGATTGAAATGCCTTATCATGATTACTTAATACCAAGTAATCTAGTGATACTGTCACACAGCACTGCCGTTGCCTCTGTCGCACATCACTGGCCTGTCCTGCTTCTTACCCAGAGTGAGCTGGGGGGAAAGTACAGCGTCTTGTAGCTGTGAACAACATGTGGATGTGTGGGGAAATGGCCACAACTGACTCTTGGTGCTTCATTCTTGTCTTTTACTAATGGAGGAATAGTGCTGTAGAGGCTGTTTTACTTCTTAACTGAATATTTTGCCCTTTGTTCTTCTTGTTTTTCCCCCCTCCCCTGTCGACTTCATCCTTGGCATGGTCCTGAAATTGGTTAATGTGTTGGAATGTGATATGTTTGGAGGAATGAATGATAAGTTGCCTGAAAGCTGTGATTGAAAATTATTGAAACCTTTAATGAGAGGAGATTGATACACTGTGCAACACGTGGCCAACTGACCTCTCAGATACGACTGTGTCCTCAGTGCTAATGAACCGGGTTCATTGTAGATTTTGACTGGTTTACAGGTGTTTTAGGCTCATGATGATACTTGATTTAAGTGTCTCGCAACTTTTAGAAATAGAAGGATTATTTTATTTCAGTCATCATATCTGGCCAGGGTGATTCATGTAATCATCTTTTTTTTTTTAGTTTTGACTCTTAATGCCTTTAAGATTAACTTCCTAAATAGATTAGGAAAACTCATTTAAGTGTTTGTAGAAATAAATTTTGTACCTGACTCTTTAATAAGCCAAATATTTTGAAGGCATTTGAAATGAGTTTACACAAAGTCCTGGAATTTTACTATCGCGTGTCACACTGTGTTCCCTCTGAATTAGTTGTATCATTGGTTTAAAAAAAAAAAAAGAGTAGGGAGATTCTGCATTCAGTGTCAGCAAGCTGGTTCTTGCTGTCCCTAAAACACTCAAATTGTACCCCCGAAGCTCCTTTTATGGTCACTTTCCACTCTTTTTCTTTATTTGTTGTATCAGACAGAGTTTAAAATGAGCAAGATTGTGTAAATGATTCTCATATGTTTTTACCAATATTTCTGCCACTTTTTGTCTCTATTTTATGATTTCTTATTGTGCCTGTATTAAATGTATAATATATGAACATATACAAATATATGAAAATGACTACTTTAAATGTGTCCCGTGCGACTTCTTGATTATTGTATTTACTCAAACTGACACGTGTGAATGTAGCGTTTTGCAGTGCATTTAGTTAGCATAGTTAGTTTTAGTTATTTTTACTCTCCTTTTTTAAAATTATTGTCATGCGTTGGTATTTGTGAGGGATAAGATATAAAGGAGTTCAGTCCATCGATGCCTCATGAGACAGATTGTGCTGTTCAATCTTGACAGAACGTCGTCAGGGAGGAAATGCGGCATTTGGTGATGTTAATAGATTCTATTCAATTCAATTTGATTTATATAGCGCCAAATCACAACAACAGTCCCCTCAAGGCACTTTAAATTGTAAGGTAGAACCTACAATAATACATACAGAGAAAAACCCAACAATCATATAACCCCCTATGAGCAAGCACTTTGGCGACAGTGGGAAGGACAAACTCTGTTTTAACAGGAAGAAACCTCCGGCAGAACCAGGCTCAGGGAGGGGCGGGGCCATCTGCTGCGACCGGTTGGGTCTTCTCTCTAGGCTTGTGTAGTCATTGACTGCAATGAATGCAGTCAAGTATTAGAAATGTACTGTTATATGAAAAAAATGTTTGTTTGTTCATTATAAAAAATATATATTTAAATGCATATATATAGATAGATAGATAGATATATAGATATATAGATATATAGATATAAATGTAATTCAGTACTTTTGATAAACTCCTGGAATTAAAACAGAAAATCTTAATGATCTTATGTTTAAATTTGCATGCCTCTATTTGGCAAATGTACTTACTTTAGATAATTACTGCAACTTCACTACCATACAATGTCAAACCATTAAACTATCGAAAAATCCCATTTTAATGCCAAATAGAAACACCTCTTTTGAGACGAGTATGATCTGTTCTCACAGTAATAAGCAAACCTCCTGTGAACATTTTATTCTTTGGTGCTCAGACAGATGGGTGTGCTTTAGTGGAAATTTGAGCTCAGTATGAAGGCTGAAAGATGTGAAAATGACACTGCATTGACTTGAACTGATAAATACAGTGCCCGGGGGGAGGAGGTAGTCTTTGACTGAAATGGCTCTGTAAAGCCTGCAACCCTTACCCCATCTATCTAGCATTGCAAGAGAAAAACCAAAATCCATGTCAAAAAGTTTATATTAAAACTATCAGGATGCAAGATGAGCATGAGATAAAGGACCTGGTTACATGCGTTATTACTTCCTTATGCAGTGCTTAGAAGGATGCAGGCATGACTGTACGCACACACTCAACACTACATCAACACCTTGTGCGTATTTACACACTCAGTCATCCCTTGTGTCTCTCTGCCTGAAGACCTCCTCCTTGCTGTTTGAAATACAGCCTCTGAGCTGCCTGTTTCACAGCCACATGTGCGAGCCATCAGTGTTGACTCTGCCTCCCCCCTGTCCGCCTCACTCAGACACAGAGGAAAAGATCTTAGGGTCTCTTGTGTATGATGTTATTTTCTGAAGGGCCAAAGTAAGATATGTGATCTGAAATTATATCCAAAAAGTGTGTTGGTCCATATGTAGACTCTTGTGTGTGGCCAGATGATGTATACAGCAAGAGTGGATCAGCGGATCTCTGTGTGTGTGTGTGTGTGTGTGTGTGTGTGTGTGTGTGTGTGTGTGTGTGTGTGTGTG